GGCAGGGCTGCTCCTCAGAGGGACCTCACCAGGCTGCAAGGAAGCCCCCAAAGTTCAAATACAAAGCCCTGCACCTGGGGTGGACGAGCCCCAGCAGCCAGAAAGCAGCTTTGCCAACTCCAGACACCCAACAAGAGGTTACAGAGAGGACTGAGCCATAGGAAAAGAAACAGTGGATAAGCTACAGTAAAAGAACTTCTGCCTTAGTTATTAGAGCCAAACGTTCACCTTGTGGGTGGTGACACCCTGAACATGGGGCCAAAGAAGAGGCAAAGTAGATACCCAAATCTCCACTGGATATGGCCCTGAATGACCTGGTCTAAGGGATCTGCTCTTAGAAGGGGCTAGGCTAGAGACTATCTGAGGTCCCTTTTCCCTTTGTCATGCTGGCTGTTCACTGCAGGACATCCCCCACCCCCAGGGGCCCAGCATGAGGAGACCCCCCCACACTGCCCCTTATCACCATCCCGTGCTCAGTAACGAACTGCACGCACGTGACTCTCCATTACTGATGAGATAAAGCACAGCACAGACCACAGCAGGAGCCCACAGCTGTATTACAGAAGCTGTGGGAGGGAAGGAAGAGGATTTCCAGCCCCTAGGGCCAAGCCAAGAAGCCCCTGATACCAGCTTGGGTGCAAAGACAGCTCCAGGCTGTCATCAGGTCCCTGTCACAGGAAATCCCCTCACTGGTTATGGCAGCAAATGGGGGAGATGAGCCGAAAGGCTTTTGAAATTCCCCTCCTCTGACACAAACCACAGCTGAGACAGGCTCCAAAACAACTCATCATCATCCCCAGAACGCTCCACAGCAGGAGAGAACAGGCTCATAACAGGGGAGAGGGGCTCACCTCCAGGCTCGTAATGGGGAGAAAGTGTCACCACTCTCCTCGAGATGTCACCACTTAGCTACAATTTTGGTTCCAGACTGCCACTCCAGGGCACAGCTGCTCCTTGACCCTCACTGCACAAGGCTGGGAGATGCCATTATTGCCCTGGCCTTCCTCCAGGCACCTTGTCCCACGTGTCCCCTCTGCAGAGGAGCAGCACAAGGAAAAAGTGCTGCCACAGTCCCTGACGGTGTGAGCGCCCAGCAGAACATTTCCTAAAACTTCTCTGCTTGGAGAAGCTCCTGCTACCACCTGAAGGCAGTGGCTCTCCAGGGAGGTCACCTCCAAGCTCCCAAAAGCAGGGACAAGCAGCCTCTCTGCTGGTACCTTGTATCTGCAGCCCATCTGCCAGGAATCAGGGCTCACCCACCAGAATTCTCTTTTTCCCCTTCCTCCCACCGAGTTTTTTTTTGATTGCAGCCCAGCCACTAAGGCTGCATTTTGCATCCTGTTACTTGAGAGTAACGAGACCAACAACACCCAGAGATGCAGAATAAACACACAAGGGTTAAGAGGGACAAGCTGCTCGGCAGCAGCAGCCTGTTCCAGGCACCCTCTGGAGCAGGAGCATTGTACCAACCCCAATGTCAAGGCATTTCAGCACAAATGGCTTTGATGGTAATGAAGAAGAAGAGTTCTTTGTCAAAAAAGGCCTAACGACAGAAATTGGCTGCTCTTACTAAAATTGGCCATCCACTTTCCAGCCTGAGAACTGACACAAATGGCTTGAGAACACAGGTAAAGGACAGCCCACAGCAGGAGGTGATGCTCAGATGTACAGGCAGACTCTCAGTTCTTGAGATGCTCAAGGGACTGGAAAGTCCTGGTGAGAGGATGAAGGCTTAGTCAGGTCTGAAACAGCGCTCAACTGGCCCCAAAACCAGAGAAGACCTCAAGCACAGCCCTGTAGCATCCCCTCCACGGTCACAAGTGTGTTTATCCAACCCCTCCTCACCTCCTGCCCTCAAGCAGGTCTCTCTCAGCTGTTCAGCTGGGGAGCTGCAGCCCTGTGTTTCCTTTGGCTGCCTTAAGATCACTTTCATTTTCATTAAACAAGCGCATGAGAAAGGGAAGAAGCTCCACTGGGGACATTTTACTGTATTACCACAACCCAAGTTTTCATCTCCCCTGAGCTAAGCAGCTCCAGCCTCTCTTTGTTCTTCTGCCAAGGCTGTCCTGCCCTCCCACTTCAATTCCTGACTCCACAGTACCCGGGGCAAAGGGAGAAGCAGCTGCTCTGCACTGAAATGCAACCCCCAGTGCTATGGTGACAACCCAGCCAGGCCAGTGCCACTGCCACTGCCAGGCAGAGCTCTGGCCAGGGATTCACTCCCCTCCTCTGCCAAGGAAAATGCCAAGCAGCGCCTTGTCACCAGCTGGGACCTGAGCTGCCCGTGCTGTGAAGGGACACAGTGATGATAAATCACATTGTCCAGGCTGAGTCTCCACCTCCAGCTGCCCCTGCTGCAGAAGGGCCGAGGCATTTCTTCCAAGCCAACAGGAAAACTTTTTCCTAACTGACCCACAGCCACGGGATCTGGTTAATCCCTGTTCTAACACCCTGCAGACCAGCAGGATTCCACACATGCTGTGAATACACGGGGTCCTCTTGTGCTGCCCAGGAGGATTACTTTTATTTTCTCCCCAGAACAGCTGCCATGGCACAGGTGTCTCCTTCTAGACTCCATTCCCCACTCCCACAGCACTCCACAAGGCTCTTCCAGCCTAACGAGCCCTAAATTTCCCTCTAATTAGCTGGCTGTTCTGACTTGCCCAGGAGCAGGGCAGCACAGAATCGTGCTGCATGAGACATCCCTGCCAACAGCTGCCAAAAGCTGGCACTGCTCCTCCCTATCTCAGCTCAAGTCTCCCAGAAAACCTCATGGAAAATCCAAGGACATCACCCCGAGACAGTTCCCCTCGCACCTGGTGTGGACACAGAAGTGCTCCCTGGACCCAGCCTGACATCCCACCCACATCACAGCCCAGCCCAGCAGGCCCAGCCTCAGTTTTGCTCTGCAGCATGTGCCAAGTGCCTCGCTGTTCTCCACTGATGGCGTGTGGAGGGGAGACTGCCAGACAGGCGGCCCGAATAGGTACACAAGAGAGAAGTTCTCCTCGCTTAATTACCCAAAATTAATTTGCCTGAAAGTCCAGGCCCACTCTGGACTTGCTTTTTGCTCGTGTAGCCCCACAAATCCTGCACGATGCCCTCCACACCAGTGTCAGATGCTCTTGGGTATTGAGCTCAACCTGTTGATCTGGGCAGCAGCACGTCAGGCAAGGGGCTCTCACAGAACGATGCTTCTGGCAGAAATAAATTTAGTAGAGATGAATTTTACATGGTCAGATAGAGATAGGACAAGGGAGAATGTCTTTAAAGTAAAAGATGAGAGATTTAGATTGCATAATGGGGAGAAATTCTTCCCTGTGAGGGTGGGCAGGCCCTGGCACAGGTTGCCCAGAGAAGCTGTGGCTGCCCCAGCCCTGGAAGTGTCCAAGGCCAGGTTGGACGGGGCTTGGAGGAACCCGGGCTGGTGGAAGGTGTCCCTGCCCGTGGCAGGGGGTGGAACGAGATGATCTTTAAGGTCCCTTCCAGCCCAGTCCAAGCTGCGATTCCATGAATGACGAGAGCAGCCCCAGCGGGCAGAAGCAGGGCGCTGCTGTCAGGGACCACCCCCCGGCAGAGGAGGGGGCAGAGCCGGCCCTACAGAGCCAGGGGGGTCCCGGCCCAGCCCCGCCGTGCGCGGGCACCCCGTGACGGGCCCTGCTCGCCCCTGACTCGGTGCCGCGCTCAGTTTTTCTCCCGCGAGTGCCCCGAGCGCCCCGGCCGTGGCTCCCTCCCCGCCAGGCTCTGCTTTTCCCCCCTGGGGGAGCCCCCACTGCCCCCGGGGCTGCTCGGGCAGCCGAGCCCCGACACGCCCACACAGCCCCGGGGCGACGAACACGGCTAAACCCCACCGAGGACGGAGCGGGGCGGGGCGCGGACACGACCCCGACCCGCGGCCCCACTCCCCGCGCGGGACGGCACAGACCCGCCACCCCCGCTCCCGGTGGCGGTACCCACCTGCCGGGCGCCGCCCGCCGCCCCGGGGCCGGTGCCGTTGAGCAGCGGGGTGGTCTCTCCCGCACGCCCGTCCTCGTCGTCGTCGCGGTCGCGGCCGGACCAGGACACCTTCTTGGCGACGTTGGCCATGCAGGGCGGCGGCGGCGACTCCCGCACCGGCCCCGGCCCTGCCCCGCCGCCCGCTCATGTGACCGCCGCCGCCACGTGACCGCCGCGCCGGCCGGGGGCGCCCCGGGGCACCATGGGAGTTGTAGTCCCGCCGACCCCTCCGCCCGGCGCTCCCTCCGGGAAGGGGGCAGCGGGATGGATCGGGACGGGATGAGGCGAGACGGGCCAGGCTGGGCGCCTCGGTAGCGGGGCCGCCCCGAGGCTTTGCCCCAGCACACCCAGCCACCCCGCCGCCCCCGGGAACACGAGGCTGCGGGAACACGGGGCTCCAGGTGCGCCTGCAGCCGGGGCTGCTCCAGCCCTCCGGACACAGAGTTCCGCAGGGGGGCTGTTTGGCAGCGTGCGTGCTTCGCCCGAGCACCCCCGGAGCAGCATGGGCTGGCCAGAGCCCTGCCCGGCCAAGGAGCCCCGCGGGCGGGCTCAGCGCTCGGGAGCGGCGGCAGCGGCTCCGGCCCCGCCGGCTCAGCCCGGTCACGGGCCCGTCCCGTGCTCCGCTTCCCCTGCTCTGACTCAGGGGCAGGGGACGAGCCGGGTCACCCGCGCGTGACCCAGCCTGGGCTCCGGCTCCTGCCGGGCTCCGAGTGGCACCGAGTGCTACAGTGAAGAGCAGAGCAGAAATAAGTGAGGTTTCTCCACTGTCCGGAGCACTTTAATAGGAAGGATGGGCTGTACATCTTCTGGGAGCAGACGACCTCCGGCTTTGGTCCCACCTGTGCCATACGGGTAGCCAAGGCCCCTTTCTCTTTGCCCCGCCTCCGGTGGTCCCGCTCCTGGGATGTTCTCTCTGCCGGGTGTCCCATCGCCCCGGGAGGATCCACCTCGGCATCAGCAGCCGTGACCGCTGGGAGCCGGCACCATTCCTGCTGCCAGGCTCGTCACGGGCAGTGCTGGAGGCAGGGACACGCCACCCTGTGCACCCCGCCCCGCAGGGAGGCATCACCCAGCGTGAGGAGAGGGCCGCGGGGCAGCCCCCGCCCGGTTGCCATTCTGGCCACCTCCCCGGGCAGGAGAGCCCGTCTCCAGAGAGCGAAGCCAGCCAGGTGACCCACAAAATTGCCGAAGTCCCTGCTGGGGCCGTTCTGCTCCCAGCCCAGCACCAGCGAGCCCCCAGCGGGAATTTCATAGCCCTGCTGGAAGCCGGAGCCGGCGGCCAGCAGCCGCCTGTCCACGTAGAAGCGGTAC